AAAAAATGAAAAAATACCTAACACGAAACACAAATAATGAGATTTTTAAACATTTTTACACGTTTAAAATTATAATAGACTAGCGGCTCACCCTCGCTTCGCTCGGGTTCACCTCTAGAAAAGCACAAATAGATCTATCCCACAGGAACCATTCAATTTTCCGGGATGAAAAGTAACCTGTTGTTTGACCGGCAATATAAGGTATCAACATGCCAAATTTCACTAAATTAGGTGCATAAGTTGTTGTGTACTAAGCTGTATAAGTTACTATAGTTTTTTAACTATCCCACGGGAAATCTTTAATTTTCTGGAATGAAAAGTATCTTAGATGTTGACCGAGGATATAAGGTATCACCATGCAAAATTTCATTTAAATCGGTCTAATAGATTCGGAGATTAGCCCGTACAAACAGACAAACAGAGAAATAAAAAATTTGAAAAAATCTGGATTTGTTCTATTTGTCTTCTTACATTCCCCTGATTCGGTTCTTAGCATTTTTTTCTATGTACAGACATTCGACCTCTACAGTTTTATTATAGTATACCTAGATATGAAAAAACTAAAATCATTAACGTAGCAATTTATACTATAAGCTTGGAGGTTCTGACAATATCTATGAAAAGTTCCTATATATAATATATTCCTTCTATTTGACCATCCTCTCAAGTCGCATTAGAGCATTCCGCATTGAATGCAAATTGCACTTCTATTGCCGAGTAATGATATTGCGCTTTTGTAATGCATATATAATATACGAAGAAAAGACAATAGAATTTAATTGTAGAGTTTACTTACAGGTGTTTATTGAGAATATAACAAAAATATACATACTTAACAAAAAAAGGTGACGTGAAGTAATAATTTTAAATTTACTAAGACTTTTAACAATACTAAAATAATAAATTTATTTGAACCGCGAATAGTATAGTCTCAATGAGATTGGACGCCGTGACTGAAATCGGTCAGGAGAACATCATCATCCTCATCATATATATATATATATATATATATATATATATATATATATATATATATATATATATTTAGTTAAATATACGTACACCTGAAAGTATTACCCTCTTTCTAGACAGTCTATTTTCATTTAAAGTTCGTAAGGCACAAAAACTAATACTAAACTTGCACGTAAGTACGTTATATAAGTTTAACTTTATAATCCATGTCTCTGGCATAAAATCTATATGTAACAACCTTACCTGCACTCGCAGTCTGCTACAAAGCTACTAAAACAAGTAGAAATTAAGCGTATTTTGTTAATAAGGAATACGACAGTGAATATTTAATTAAAACAGCATTCTTAAATTTATATTTCAAAGGTCATCCCAAATATATATATATATATATATATATATATATATATATATATATATATATATATATATATATATATATTAATATCTTAAATTTAAAAGATTGCTATTTTTAATGATACTATGATAAAATAATATTTTTTATGATGATTGCACGACTTTTCGTCTTGCTTATCATTCTCATAGACGATAGAAACCTTCGTTCTACAACGGTCGATAATCGAGACTGCAACTTTCCATTCAGTAGTAATTGATAACCGTTATTTTGATGTTGAAGACACGTTTGGCTCAGTTTGTAGTGACCCTACTTGCTGTGCCAGCGGTCGTGGGTTCCAGTCCCGCTGGGGGCATTCATTTGTGTGATGAGCACGAATGTTTGTTCTCCAGTCATGGGTGTTTATATTTATAATATGTATGTATTTATAGTTAAATACTTGTAGTGTATCAACAATCTGGTATCCATAACACAGGCCTCGTAGCTTACCATAGAACTAGATGGTGTTGTGTGTTAATGTCCCAACATATTTATTTTATTTATCTCTACGATATCCCACCGTGCTGTGCCCTAACTACCTTGACGCTTGTAAAATTTCTTATTAGAAATACAATCAATTCGTGTAGAGACAAGCATGTATATTTAAAAGATAAAATTAAGGTATATCTGTCTATTTATATTTATGTAGTATCAAATATTCTTAACATAATGTTTTTCTTTATAATATAATATGTTGTTTAAGATAAATATTTTTTATAATGACAATTTATATTACACGATTGTACTATTTCTCTTGTCTCTGTCTCGATAAAATTCGTTTAAAAATATTCTATAACTTTTTGTTTCTTTGTCTTTACATAACTTTACGTGCTTGCAGCAACATATTTAATATACGTATAAATCCAAGATGAAAACGTTTTCCATCTTTACAGGTATCCAAAATGCAAGCACAGCCGTGTAAAATAATTCAAGTGTTGTGAGGTGTTAGTGTGTTGAGGCGTGGTGCGAGGATGCGGAAACGGCGAGTGTGACAGAGCGACTCGGATGCGTCGGGGTAGCGTGTACAGTGTGAGTGAGGGAGTGGAGCGGTGCACCTGTTCTAGGTAACTTGTATCATATTTATTTTAGTATTATTAAGTTGATTTCTTACCTACATCACTACATATTATAAACTGAAGCTGAGTTTGTATTTGTTCGGGCTGATATCAGAAATGACTGTACGAATTTTCATACGATTTGCACCAATGGAAACAAGGGCTATCTAAGGAGGTTATAGACTACAATTTATTTTCTAACATTTTGCAAAAATAACCTAGAGGCATGATGATATTAGTAAGTTAAAAAAAGTTAAAAAAGGCCTTTTTACATATTAGTCAAAAATCGCACCTGAGCCTAGCGGGGTATCCACTAGTTTATTATATTATACCTAAATAATGTATTGAGTACCCACTCATTTAATTTCTATTAAAATATCTATCATTTTATACAAAAAAAACATACATCCGTTGCTTGGATGTTAATAAAAAGTAAGAAAAACCAATACACACATTTTCGAATTTAAAATATATGTAAAGAAGTAAGGACTCATAGTTCCTTAAAGTTTCCATTATAACTTATTATCTTGAACCTACGTACCAATTTGGTAGCAAGTGTATTTATAACGTTTAACCTGTTGCTCTTCAAAATTCATTAGACAGCTTCCAACATTTTAACTGAGAGAAAATTGCCTTCGCGTTTTAGAGGCACAATGAAATTAATAGCTTTCTCACCTAAAACTTACCTAAGAACAATTTCAAAAGAAAATACCTTGTAATAAGAACCCATTTTGAATCATGTTTTTTTAACTGGGCGATATTGTTGTTACGTGCATGTTGCTGGATATGAAAATTCGTAAGTGAATTTTCATCACACCATTATAAGTATATTTCTATTATTTAATATATGATAAATTTATTTATATGTTATTGTAAAAAACTAAAATATGTCAAAAAGAAAAATTAAAAGAAATAGACAAATTCAACATTATTTTATTACGCATAAAAGTAGGGATTTATACGTGAAGAAATAACAAACATACACATGCACTAACTTTCGTAATTACAAAAATAGTCAAAAATATATGTACACACATACATATTATATCAACAAGATAAAATGCAAGAACCTATATAATTAATAATAGCTGGCTATCAAATGTATCAATACAAAACGTTGGTATGGTATATTCCTCGTAAATTATAGTTAAATAAAAAAAAAACATTTATACCGGGTGATTTTTAATTTAAATAATATACTGTTTACATCATAACAACAACATCTGTAAGAAAAAGAAATATTTCTTAAATATTACAAAAATAAAAATATTTTTATTGCTCCATCTAAACGGTAATAGACAATTATAGTCCAGCAATTAGCAAAAGAAAGCGCGTGACCGGTGGAGGGGGAGGGGTAGAGGGGGGAGGGTGGAGGGGTGTAGGAAGTGGCCCTTACTCATTTAAACTTGGCTAGAACTTTACCGTTTACAAGGTGCAATAAAAATATTTTTATTTTTGTATGAAAATAAAAATTTAAGAAATACATTTTTTCTTGTTACAGATGTTGTTTTTATGATGTAAATAGTATATTCCCAAAAGGTTTAGTATACAATATACATACAGCCAGTCATTACAGTAATGCTACGCGACACGGCCTACGGACGTATTACTATTTAAGTCCACACCACTAAAGAATATTTGCACTACGTTTTATCAGGGAGCGCATAGCACAGGCATAACATACAACGATGGTCCAGTTGGCCGATATCAGTGCAGTTTATCTGTTTTTATTCATACTATTCAGCCTGGATACTAAAAAAAACTATTTCATCCATATACATTTTCTCAACTAGACCATGATTAAATTCTAAAAATTGTAGATAAGATTTTTACTAAATACCAATTCTTATGGTAAATTAAATTAACATATAGTTATTTATATGAATTATTTATTTATTTTATTGAAGTTATACTTCTTTTGGCACGTTTGGAAAAAAAATGAGAGTAAAATTTTTACGATGCGCGCGCACACCGACAGCCAAAAAGCGACATGATGAAGCTGCATACCTTTTTCAAACAGAGTGTTGTGACATACGGGATGAAATCTTTAGCTATTTTTGTTTTGTTACGCCAAAGAAGTATAACTTCTTACGTGTGTACATAAGTATACACATAAGTTTTTTTATAGTTTATTTTATCTAAATACGTAGTAGGTTCTTTCTTATATGCATTTATTTAACTACTAGTAACTAAGCTTGCTTCGCTCGGGTGCATGTCTAGGTGCCTAGCAGTAGCCTTTGTTTTACTCCAGGTGACTATGAACTGGAGTAACACTAAGCTATATATGTACAAATTTTCAACCAAACAAGTCCAGAGATTTTAGCGTGAAGGAGTAGCGATAACCATTCCCACATACAAACCTACGCATTTTTAATAGTAGTGTGATAAAGCATCCTTAATTAACGATACTATTACTCTTAACACTCTTCTATCAACACTTATCTCTTTTCGTAATAATATCATATATATTTACATAAGCATTATATATACATTTGTATGTATTATTTAGACATGTGATCAGGTAGCGAGGGTGCGGGCGCGGGTGCGCGTGCGAGTGCAGCCATGGCGGGCATGGCGGGTTGATGGAAGCGGACTGGTGGTCGCCCTCGCCGTCGGCCTCGCCGCCGCCGCCGCCCCGCGCCCCGCCGCCGCGCTGCCGATGCCGACCTCTCTCCAACAGCTACAATTGCTTGCCACATTATGGTAAAACTATTATCTATTTTATCAGAAATATAACTTACCTTAGATACATGTAGTAATAAAACTATTACCTAAATCATCTTAACAATTTGTGCCATGACTTAAGGTAGGTCGCCTCTAGGGTAGGTATTTAAATCTATACTAATATTATAAATTGGAAAGATTTGATTTTTTGTTCATTTGTTTGTATCGAATAGGGTCAGAAACTACTGAACCGATTTAGATGAAATTTGGTAAGAAGATAGTTTGAGACCCTGGGAAGGACAAAGGATAGCTTTTATCCCGGAAATCATCCCTTAAGAGGTTGAAAATAGGGACGAAAGTTTGTATGGGGAAAGAACCTAAGGACGAACCCGAGTGACGCGAGGGTGAGTCAGTAGTGTTATATAAAATTTGATAAATTATATTAAAAAAAGGTAAAAAAGTTATTTATAATCCTTCCATATTTCTCTTGATTATTCTTTTCACTCGGACATTTTTTTCATTGCTTGTAGTATTTTGGACTAACAATTTAAAAAAAGGAGATCGATTCAATATTGGACTCCTTGTCCAATTGATCAATAGCATGCCGCGCCTGATTGTTATCTATGAAGCTTTATATTTAAGTCTAAAAGTCACGTTCTTTTGTAAAATTATACGTTCATCCTACTTAACACACAAAACACTTATTTAGCTTAATCCAAGAATTTTTTTACAGATTACATTTAAATAGCAGTTTCTAGAACAAAATTTTCCAATTCAATTACTAAAACCTTGTTTATTACATAAAAAAATATACCCTGTATCTTTAATAAACATAAAATACTTGTTACTTTGTAAGGAAATTGAATTCCTGGAAAGAAATGTATATTATCCGTATAATTCTCACAGATGGATGGCCAGATCTAGAAGACGAGTCAACAGGGGGTGCGCTACGGGAGAGAGAATTACGATCTCTCCACCGCACCGTGCCTGCACTGCGTCGCCGTGAACTCGACACTCGCGCTATCAAACATCATTTCTACCCCGAGGGCGGTTGGGGGTAAGATTTCAAAGTGCTCCTCTTTTATGTTTCCGTGTAACACAATATTAGTAAGAATATATAGAAATATAAATTTAAAATGAAAATTTATAATGAAATTTTATTACGCTATAATATCTCCACGATTTCATTGAAATTTAGAATGAAGCTTATTCATTTGGCAACCAAAACACGGCAAAGTATGATGTACCTAAATATACTTATATTAGATTTTTTTTATACTATGTCTATACAATAATAGTAATATAAAAAATTAAACAGACTTAAAAATTATATATCACAAATTAATTAAATATATATAACTATAATTAAAGTTCGGTATAACATATTTACCTATTAGATATACATATCTTATAGCATTGTCGGCTAGTACCGACTTCGAAAAACTTTTTAGTAGACGTGCAAGGAATATTCGGCTATTATTCAGTGTTCGGCCTATTCGGCTACTTTTCCTTTTCGGCCGAATACTGAAATCTAGATACTACTCAACCGAATACCGAATACTTAAGTAATAGGATGTTTTGTTATAATCAGATAATTGGTATGAAAATATTGATTTATTTTATAATAATACTAGCATTTCCCACGGCTCCGCCCGCATTCAGATGACCAAAAACCAAATTCTTAGGATTTACATATTAGTATAATTTTACATTGCAGTTTTTGTATTTTTTCTCAGAAATGAGATATTTTCCCGCGGTAAAAAATATCCTATGTGTTGACCTGGATAACCAGTTATCACCATACCAAATTTCATCAAAATCCCTCCAGTGGTTTTTCTGTGATGAGGTAACAGATAGACAGACAAAAATTCTAAAAACTATACATACGGCCTCTGTATCGATAATTATGTTTATTTCAATAAGATTTTCCAAAAAATATCTCATGTAATACTACTTCCTGGCGCTAAACAAGAAACAAACACGTCGATACAAGTTTTCCGGCCACAAGTTTTGTGGTGACCGAATACTTTTGCTTAAAATTTGGCTATTCGGCCAGAAAGCCCACCGAATATTTGCTATTTGGCGTATGGCTAAATATAGTATTTGTTGCAAGTCTACCTTTTAGTATTTTTTTGAAGTCAGTTTAATTTTTTTTTAATTACTTCTTTATTTAATTTTTTTTCGTTTTAAGTAGGAACTGAAATAATTTTACATTACTAGTTTCGGAGAAATACGTAGACAAACATACATACATACACCTAGAAAATTTTGAATATTTGCTTGGAAGCCCTTATAGATTATCATATGTGAATATTCCCTTGTTACGTTATTGCGTAAAAAAGGCTTTACCAACAAATAACATTTCCCATTTATATACTACTACATATAATATAATAATAATAACAATCATGTTTGAGTTAAATATTTGTTGTAGTCAAACACGAATTTCTCAGATAAACATATTTAATGTTAGTGATTGTTGAGTAACATTAAATTTACTAACGTTATAAGGTATACAACAAGCCTTTATCTAGTCGCTACAAAATATGATATTTAATATTGGCTAGATTTTTGACTAAATTCGAGCAGATAAAATATTAAATTACAACACTTATTTCCGCAGTCAAGATATTTTACTGTTTAAAAAAGAACTCCAGAGGCAACTCAAGAAATATGATACATAAAGCTGTAAATTTTCCTCTGTAAGAGGATATGGGAAACTAATGTCGTCTGTACGCGTCATATCGACCACTCGTCGGGTCCCGCTTTTATTGTTTAGAGTTTTATTTACTTTGTTACGTACGTGACAATAAAAGCCGTCACTAAGCAAAAGAAAAGAATTTTTCGGGATATAAAATTTTACCTTTTCATCTTACCTTCCTTTTTTTCGTCTTTATATATTTGCGTGAGTTAATTTTTACAATAGGTGACTGAATAATGTTACATGTAACTATGTAAAATACGTGTAAAGAAAAAAGTCTTAAAAGAAAATAATAAAACATGGTTTAGTTAAGATTAAAGGTGATATTATTTTTCTTGGCATACACAAAAAATAACACATTATACGTCACGCACCTACTAGTAACCTAGTACCTATTAAAAAGTTTTTTATATCTACATTATGTGAAAATTAACTTGTTACACTCTTATTTTATAAGAGTCCTTTAAGTTTATTAATTTATGTTATATGAACTTCTAAATTTCGATTCAATTTTTTACTTAATATTTTGCTTGCCACAAAGTTAAAATTTTATAATAATTTTATTAGATTTACGCGGGTGTTTGACATTAAAAAAAAAATACAATAACTCAGTATCTCGTAATTTATTATTAACAAATAACAAAATGTTAAAGCAAATTCTTTTTTACAGTTGGATCGTTTGCGGCGCAGCATTCTTGGCACACCTACTGTCCACAGGACTGCAGCTAGCCTACGGCGCGCTACACGTGTACGCGGTTCGACACCTAGGTCCAGCCGCCGAACACGCTGGTGAGTTATCTCAATGATTTATGTGCTACGATAACTTAATGAATGCTTAATGACTCCACATTTAAGTTTAAGGTTAATTATAATAGGCATGTATGTCGGATCGTTTCTACCGACTACGGGGTAGGCAAGTTTAATCTTACAATGACAAGAGTGAATAATTACGTATTCAATAGATATGTATGTATGTATATCCCGGTTTAATAACAGTTAACAGTTAAAGCATGGAGCTGGTTACACAAAAGCGACATTTTTAGAATATCTGAAGAGTTGCTTAATATGTACGTAGATGGTTAAATTTTCTAAAGAATATATAAAAAGAAGAAGTAAAGAAACGGGTTTTGCAATTTTCGTTTTACTCTTACTCTATTGTAAAATCCGTAACACATCGAGTGTTACAGATCTCAATCACTCTATTGGTCAAACTTCCTACAAACTAAAAGGTTTAAGAACAAATATTTATAAAATTCAACAAATGTGAATCAAAATCACAAAACAATGGTAAAGAATCATAATTAAAATTTACCCATATACTGTTAGAGTACAGTTAGCTACACTCCCGATTCAACTCGAAAATCATAACAAAGGCCGGTCAGTTCCATTATATTTCTAGTATCATTGTACTTAGCAGATATGGTTGTAGCGGCAATTGTGGAACCGCATATTAACAGCATGCAGCGGAACTGTAATTACTTCATTAGCAAAGTCATGTCTTTGTATAAATATGTAGTATGTTGTATATTGTTACCTAACTTCTAAAATATGAAGTAAGTACTATGGACGAGGCAAATATTTTATGTGCCAATGTTTAGTTATGAAATTGCTTCTCCCGCTAACTAATTTAAATTGTATGCTGGTTAGTTTAAACTAAATTCAATTAGGTTGATCTCGTGGTTGTTCCATTAGCGTGTAATATATCGTTTCAACGAAATATAGAAAAATATTAAAATTATGAATGGCTAAAAAATCAAGCCACTATCAAGAACGAAAAAAATTACAGTAAAATATAATATCATATAAGAATTAATTGTTAGGTGGACATTTATATAAAAATTTCGTAATTCATTCAAAGATAATAATATTTTCAATATAACACTACACTATACAGAATATTAACTCGAGTATATATGGTACTAGGTAGCTTACACATTTTGTCTTAGAACTTTAGTAAATAATTAATTTAAAATACTGGTCTTCTACGCTCATTTGTACTATTTTATAACAGTATAAAAACCTATGTACTTGTAACTTGTAAGTAGGTACTTGAACGATTTTACTTCTTGGATAGAAAGTTCTGAATCGAAAAATTAGTTATAATATGTACATTTTGATAGACAAATGAATCCTTTTATAAATATTACTTACTCAAAGGACCGATTGGGAGATCCGAAATGGGAACGAAAAATAAACAACAAAGGTTTTCTTGGTAATAAACAATAAAAGTTTCTCGTGCTTTGCTATATTTAAATATATGTACATATATCGCCTTCATGAGGGCACCAGTGAATTATTCCTTTGATACATGGGCTTTAATTTCATTAATTGTTTTTCATTTAATCTCCTTTGAGAGGAACGATTCACAATGATTGTGTTATATTCATAAGTATTACATATTTATTGTTATTATTGTTTTGTGTTGTTCAAAGATATTTATGGTATTCTTATTCATTATAATTTAAATAGCACAACTAGTGTCGTTTTATAATCTATATACATATATATAATAAAATTGTAACTAAGTCGAAATCGGTATATAAAATATTTTTTGGAAAATCTTATTGAAATAGACATTATGATCGATACAGAGGCGGAATCTATAGTTTTTAGAATTTTTGTCTGTCTGTCTGTCTGTCTGTTACCGCATCACAGAAAAACTACTGGAGGGATTTTGATGAAATTTGATATGGTGATAGCTGGTTATCCGGGTCAACATATAGGATACTTTTTACCGCGAGAAAATGCCTCATTTCTGAGAAAAAATACAAAAACTGCAATGCAAGAGTATACTAATATGTAAAACCTAAGAATTTGGTTTTTGGTCATGTGAACGCAGGCGAAGCCGCGGGCAATGATAGTATATAATAATCTTGCATATTAATAAAATATTTTCCTATTAGTAAAACATTTTTTGTAAAAGAATAAGTAGTTCAAGAAAGGATCTTCCCAAACAATAGATATAAGACAAACAGCTATACTTCTTTATGAATAATACCTTATACATATTCTTAAGTGGTTAAAAGACAAAGTTCATAACAACTCGTTTGCATGCATGCTTGTATGTTGAATATGCAGATAAAACACTGTTGAAGAGGGAAGCATTGAAATATGTAGATTATTAAATTTCTAAGAATGTATAATTGACTAAATTACAATGGGGTTCTCATATATTCTAGTGAATAGACTCAGCTCTTCAATGTTGTTGATATGTCAGCCTACACAGTATATTTTACATACTTACACCTATATGGTCGCCGATATTAATACAATTTTCTCCTCCAAAAAAGACCTATACGCGTATTTTATTACCTTTAGCCTCTAGATCAGCTATACTGAACCTGCCTCCCGCGGGCCGCATGCGGCAGCATCAAAAATCGCATTATAACATATCTTTGTTAAAAAAGTAACTAGATCGTTAATTTGGAATTACGTTTTCATTAAGACCTAAATAATTTTTGCTTGCGGCCCTCGACACCATGACTGAAACGTGTTTGTAGCTCCTATAAAAAAATGGTTGAGTATGGCTGCTCTAGATCCTTAAGAGATAAATTTAAGGAAATCAATTAAAATCATAATTGAAGGTTGTCAATACATTTATAAAATTGAACATATGCGCGAAACAATATCAAATTTTCCGCCGAAATTTTTATTTTATTTTTTATTTATTTAATTTTCATTCAGACACAGGTCCATAGTTTAATATGTATTACCTAACAACATTTAAAATTTAATATTTAACAATAACTTTGACACTCATAACACTGGTACCCGAAACATACAATATACATCTGTAACTCGCTTACATGGAGTCATTAGAGTGCGTTTTTACAACAAAATTCCAAAACCGTTATAATTAAAAACGTTTGAGGATTAAACAATATAATATAATAAATGATTTTGGACAAAATAACACATGCCCTTAGTATATCGCCTTCAGAATATTTCAATATCACATAAACATTATAATGTATATTTTTATGTAAATAAAGTAATAAAAGATTCACGTCACGAGTTCCTTTCAACAGTTCTATTCAAGACTTCAACATTTTCGTTCAATATTCGTACACTTTAATAACTGTAATAATTTAATACTAAACATTTATTTATTTAGTTTATTCAATAATATAATTTAATTTACTTTTATTGATTTATATAATAAATTATAGCATAATATATCCGAATAAATGATATTATTATCTACTTTAAAAATCATCCTTATTCCTCAACATTTATAGTAGAAACGAAGTTTTTCTAAACGTAACTATGATTCTAAATTATATTTTTTTTTGTATTCAATAACTTTTGTTATTGAATACAACTAAACACTTGGTAGCTAACACTAGCGCTTCTAGAATGAACTTTTCCTATTATTTACTATTAGAGATGCGTTTGCATTTTCGCTACGTCAACAAGATTTTACGTAGTTTAAATAGGTACTCGCGGTACACGATAGCAAAGACAGTATAAACATACTATGGCAGTTGATTTCAACTACTTCAGTTTTAATTTGTTTCAACCTTTGCTTAACTTCGAATTCTTACTGATTACTTGACATACTGCCGCCTATACAGTGTACATATTATATAATATATACATATTATGTAAAACAAAGTCTATTACTGAAAAAAATGAAAAATGGTCCGATAATATGGATTATCGAAATTTTTCAAAAAATATATTCTGTCTCTTTAATTCTCACGGAAATTTTTCATTCATTGTTCTTGTCATGGATTACCAAGTTACAGTTTTCTCCATTCTTCTTGATATTGGCGAAGTAATTTATGCTTAAGTGGCATGTTTTATAACTATCAAGAAAATTCAACTGAATTTATGCAAATATACAATAATATCTTCTTTGAGTACCCCAATCTAAAATAGCATAAAGCTAAATAAAAATATTTAGTACCTCATAAGTCTCTTTCAAAATTACTTAATATATAAAATAAATGACACTAAAAAGGCCATCATAATAGCCTCGTAGGCTAAATATTATACCATCCATATAAACTTACAAAATAGCAGATCAACACGCATTTTAATAATAAAACTTACATTAACTTTAAAATGTTACATCAAAACACGACATTTTACATTAACGCTTACTCAAATAAAATGATGTCAAAAGTCGTTAAATATTTATATTAATACTTAAATATCTTCGATATGAATAATATCTCGAGCAGTGAATTCAAAGAAAGAAGCAAAAGCTTAGTTTAATAATTACTTTATGATTTAGTACCAACAAAATTAAATTACACCTACTTCACTATTACATGTATACAAAAGCAATTTTGAGATCCCCCATGATAAATTATTATTATTATTAGAAATTAGATCTATCATAGGGTGTACTTTTGTTCTCGTACAAATTTGACTTATTGAATTAATTTCAAAAGACTCACGATCCACCCTGAATATTAAGTTCAAGAATTTTTGGTTTAATTTGCCTTTGAGGTTAGAGCGGTATGGACAGTCATAAATTTGTACCGACTGCTTTGAACGGGAGTTGAGGTGAGAGCTTTGAACTATAACTAATTTTGACTAGATAACAGCTGCTGCTTGATAATTACTAACAAATATTAGAAACGGGTTAATGAATCGTCATTCGTTACTTCCACTTGATTACTTGCTGTAATCTTAATCCCAATTTAGCAGTGTGTGTTTAAATATAAATTACAAAGCTAAAATGTTTTTATAACATAAAACTAGCGACTCACCCTTGCTTCGATCGGGTTCGTCTCTAGATATGTTTTCATGTTTAGTATAGATTTCTCAGAGATGAGATATTTTCCCGCAATAAAAAGTATCCTATATGTTGACCCGGATAACCAGCGATCACATACCAACTTTCATCACAATCTGTCTAGTGGTTTTCTCGTGATGCGGTAACAGACGACAGACAAAGATTTTCCTCTGTATAGGTAATAATGACTATTTCAATAAAACTTTCCAAAAAAATGTTTAATGTACACATTCGACTCAGTTACAATTATATTATATGTATAGATATTAAACATTACTAGTTATAGTAATACTTACTCGTAATTAAATCATCTCCGTTTCAAACAATCCTAACCATGTAATCTTTTACATGTATTTAGCCCTTTTTAACGTCCCACTGCTGGGCACGGGCCTCCCTTCAATACGAGGGGGATCAGGCCATAGTCCACTACGCTGGCCAAGTGCGGGTTGGCGGACTTCACGTGTCTTTCGAAAACTTGCTAGGTTATCTCAGACATGCAGGTTTCCTCACGATGTTTTCCTTCACCGTAAGGCAAGTGGTAATCATGTTGGAAATGATTCGCACATGAAAATATCGGAGGTGCGAGACCCGGGATTTGAACCCGCTTCACTCGGTTTCGCCAAGCGAGCGCATTACCACTGGGCTACCACTGCCTCTATCTATTACATAAATTGAGTAAACTATTTGAGGTAGATTAACTAACTCGAATTCTATTCAAAGGTTCTAATCCATCGTTTAAGAGAAAGCGCATAACTAAGCGTAGAATTATAAATTATCTTATACCAAAACAAAGCAGCCATATTATTTATTAGACAATGAGCTCTCACCGCCATTGTGTTAAATGAAACCCTAGAGTAATGTTCCGGCTTAATTACGCGAATATTTACGACAAATGTATTTTGAGTTACAAATCCCAATTAAAAAATGAGCAAAGTATAGATGGAGTAATTAATTTGAATTAAACATGAAACATTGCATGGAACATTTTTTTGTTGAAAAAATATGATAATAATAACTCTCATTTGTATTCTTATAAGAACACAAAGCACAAGAAAGGAAGGAACAAAAGAAAATTTATCTTCTTCCTCTTTAATATTAACGTATACAACATATGTGAATCAAATCAAAAATTCTTTATTCAGAAATACATTTACGAGCATTGCTTGACAAAACCTCTATCAGTTCGGAAAAAATAATCCATCCCTAAAAATAATGATCGAAAGAACCTCAGCGGGTTATAGTTCTCATCTTTATTTATTAGTAAGATTAAATTGAAAATTTACTCATTTTATTCAACTTAACTCAAGAATAGGATCTAAATATTTTAAATTATTACATTAGGTACACAAGAACTATCGCTAATATAGTTTTACATAAATTAAAAATATACCTGTTCCTAAAATATAAAAGCTCTTGCTAGCATAGTATTGCAAAACAATTATGTTGCAAAAGTAAATCTTTATAAACACACTGTATAATTAATTAATTAGCCTACATTATACGTAATTTATATTTGTTTAGTTTGGGCTGGCGCAATTTGTGTGGGTGTATCGCGAGCAGCTGGCGCCCTGGTGGCGGCTCGACGGAAGTCGCCCAGGCTCGCTGCATTGGTCGGAGGCCTACTACTGCCCCTCGCTTGTCTATTTACATCCTTCGCCACACAGCTCCACCAAACTTTGTTAAGTTACGGTAAGACTTCTAATTTGCAGATTATTGATTACGGATTACAGATAAAATAAAATAGCACTGACATTTCTAAAAAAAGTTTAGTTGATATTATTGGATCTATATTATTAAAATATATTAAAACCTTGACTAAAAAATTGTATTAAATAGATGAATTGTTAATAAGTTTATAACAAAACGAAGATACGAATCGAATCTACGTTCCCGTGTAATATATTAATAGTTCAAATATTTTGTTTAATTATACTTTATATTTTACAAAGACAGCAAATTGTACAGTATATTACATAAACCAGCTAAACTTCCACCTATTCATTTGTCTCGGTCTGTTATACCGCCAACTGTTACGCTTTGTCTTGACATTTCTCTCACTTACATGAGTACTGCGTTATCTCTATCAGATAGCTAAGTGAAATAGTACAGAAAAGCACAAATAATATACATATTTAATAAGCTATTCTCTTAAACAAGATGACTTTAACAATTAATATCGTTATAAGAAACTTAAAAATATATGAGGATTATAATATAATCTGAGAACGTTAGAAAATACCTACGAATTGGTGATCCATTGATGTAGAAAATCTCTTATATATCGATGATATTACCATACATTTTTCAATTTTCTTTAAGCAGTCCCGATAGTAGAATGTCATCTTGTCTAAAAATCCCGCAATTTGTTTGTGACAGGTGTAGTTCTAGGCGTCGGTTGCGGCCTAGTTCGAGAGGCAGCCGGCATCGTGCTCGGCACATATTTTAGACGGCGCCGGCAATTTGTGGAACTCGTAGCGCACGCTGGAGGAGGTGTCGGCATCGCGTTGTTCAGCGTCGCTTATAAAGAGGCTGTGGGGTAATGGTTCAAATTAACAAAATATTCATGAAGTCATCTTATCTATCTATCCATCTCTATCTATCCATTTCTATCCATATGCATCTCTATCCATATACATATCTATCCATATAAAATGCGGAATAACATAACATACTTCAAAGAACAGCGTATTTGCTTAGCTGTAGTAGACAGTTTGTATTTATGGATTGACATATTTAATTGTAACATAAAACCGTAGATCGGAAGCGCGTTTTACGTAAAAGCTTTTCACTGTTATTATATTATAGAATAATTATACTAAAGGTCGAAATAGCTTCATATTTCGTTATTTGCAATATTTACATATTTCTTGATTTAAAAAATTAATGATGTACCTATACTATACTAATTTTGTACCTACGTTTTTGTTTTTCTTGTAAAATGTTGTAAATACGATTATGATATTAGTTCACTAGCATAAATATTAAGTCGTGAAAGTTCATTATTATATTATACTACAGATTAAGCTTAGAAATATTGTATTATTTTCATTATTTCACAGAAAGCTAGGCTGGCGTTTAGGATTGCAAGCGGTGACAGGAGTGTTGGTGCTTGCGTTTTTTCTTAGCGCAGTATACCGCAGTGCTTCCCTCTACCACCCACAGAGACGCGCAATTCTGCACTTAAAAAACCAACGACGAAAAGTAAGTAAACTTTTCATTTATAAACTTCAAAATATAGATAAAATTTGGATAAATTTTATTTTTATAGACATCATGAATAGTTGTTTTATTGTATTTTTTGTACATAAAATAGATATCTAATAATTTAAAATAATGAACGATTGTACTCATACACACACATACCTCGTAAGTTGTTATAATATTTTGTACTAGCGGCTCAACCTCGCTTCGCTCGGGTTCGCCTCTAGAAAAACAAAAACAAATCTGTCCCTTGGGAACCAAATATTTTTTCGGGATAAAAAGTACTATATATATATATGTACTATAATCTATCTCTGTACCGAATGTCACCCAGATCCGTTCAGCCGTTCTGACGTGAAAAAGTGACAAACATCCATACATACTCCCAAACTTTCACATTTATAATATTTACATATATACCGATGTATTTATAGATATGGTATACCCCTAAGATTCACTCGTTTATATAGTATGTAGTTGTACCTACTTCTATTACAAAAACAACATAATACTTCAAAATGTAATAATAAAAAAAATCTTTCTCTCGACAACTTTCATTAAACATTTAGTCGCGGTTTTCGCTGATGTATCTAATAATTCCCCACTCACTGTTCATTTATCCCGCAGGTTAAAGAAAAGAAAGGCCTCAAAACGTCCCCTTTCATTGATTTAAGCCCTCTTCACTCGAGATCCGCTAAGGTATTGTTATTAGCCGCTGGTCTCGCAGCATTTGGTCTTTACACTCCAGTATTTTTTCTGGTAAGTAAGCATAATTAAGAAAAAACACGCAATATCCATTTCATTGATGTTTTATATGTATTTATGTGCTTATTTATAGGCTCCACAAGGTTTTCAAGAAGGTTTAGAAGAGAGCGCATTGGTTTTGCTGCAAACATTTCTTGGATTTGCCGCTGTTCTTGGATGTGCTGGCTTTGGGCTCGTGCTAGTGCGTCCATCAGCACAGTGTCTCGTTTCCAAGCAATATTTATGTCAAACAGCCATGTTGGGTATAGGTAAGGATTTCTATATATTAAATTAACAATACTGTTGTATAAAGATTTGTGTAAGGATGTAAGTAAAATATTTAATCTATCATTTATAGGAATATCAATGCTTGCTCTGAGCAGCGTAGAAGGCTACCACGGCTATGTGCTCTTCGCGTGGATGTATGGCTTATGTTTAGGTGGATTTTTGTATTCAATCAAAATGCTTACGATGGAGCGAGTTCGGGGACGGCATTTCACAAAAGTTTGGAGTAAGATATAATATTATTATTAACTTATCTTTTACAATATTAGTACAAATAATTATAATTAATAATACTAATTTAATCTATTTAGGTTTTGTCCAAGGAGCTGAAGCAATACCAGTGATGGTCGGAGTGCCAATGACCGGTTACATAAATCAACAAGCGCCTAGAGCGGGCTTTTATTTCTCCACTGCCGCGACATTAGCGGGCGCGGTGCTATTGTTTTTTGTTGGATTCTCGAAGCGAGATCCGGAACCGCCTCCTCCGGTTCCGGCGCCGACGATATCTGAGGCTTGTTTGTGTGTGACGCCACCGCCGAGATGTGAGCCAGCCTGGTGTGCGTGTAGCGCGGGGGGTGCGACCGCGTACTGTGCTTTCCCTGGACCTACTTGCTCTACTCGACTGCCCAAATCCCTCTCATATGCCGCCCCGCTCAACCGTACTTGCTGTACACCACACTACCCTGAATGCTGTCGACGAGCTGCGATACTACGACCTTCGCGTAGTGTACCTGAAGGTCTCGCTCAACGCAGCAATACATTTAGTCGTTCTGGGTCTTGTAGAGCACCGTGCCACCGCCGGGAACATCATTTAATAGAGCAAATTACCACATCTGTATAATATTTACTTCATTAATATCATGACCTAAAACAATTTAAGTTAATTATCGTACGAGTAAATATTAGTGCACTATTGACGTGTAATATATAATTATGTAAATATTTTCGTCAGTAGTTGTAATTGAGTAAATGTGATAGATAATTCGGATAAGCAATAACTGACATTGCAAAGTTCCCAATCTTCAACAAAAAGGTTATTCTATACTCTTGTGCTAGTTCTCTTGTTTAAGGCCTTAAGACTAAAATAATTAAAAATTTTAAATTGTTTCAATTTTACAGTAAATATTGTTTTAATTATGAAATGAACTTCAGTCAGCTTTTAAGTTGTTCACTAATTTTATTTGTCAATTATCATAACATACATTTACTTAAGAATTTATTAATTTTATATTATTAACATTAACTTATTTTAACTTAACACTTTTTATGTTAACGTATTCTAAACATACCGATCGATAAGTTCTTATAAGTATAAATTACACCTTTTTAGATATATATGGGACCTCTAATATTATAAAGCTAAATAAAACTAAATGAGCAAATTAAACCTCTAAAATTTAACTAGTCGTATCCTATTAAAATTCTATGAAATTTTTAAATTAACTTTCCATTAAATCTCAAATGAAGTATACTAAGAAATGTAATATATACATACAAAATCTTTTAAAATAATGTCAATTTGCAAATTAAATGTGTTGTTTCAAGTTTTTATTTTATTGTTACTAAATATTTTATGTATGTTAGACCTCATGATACTTGTTGTTTTCGTGCTAAGTGCCATTTACTATTTTATTGATGGAAAAGAAATAAACATTAAGGAAAGTCTTTTTTGTCTTTTACTTTAATAATAAGTAACCTAATTAATACTTAAATTCATTTAGATTACTTTAAATTTTAAGTAAATTCTGCAATTAAAGCAGACCGAGAGAAAATATGTAAGATACACGATAAATTGTTAAATATGTGAATCCTACTAATATAATAAATGCGAAAGTCTGTAAGGATGTATGGATGTCTGGATTTCTGGATGTATAGATGTAGGCACAGACGTTTGTTACTCTTTCAGGCAAAAACTACTGAATGGATTTTAATGAAACTTTACAATAATATAGTTCACACATTAGAATAACACATAGGCTACTTTTAATCTTGGAAAATGTACGGTTTCCGTTGGATAGATTTGTTTTTATCTTTCTTTCTTATTTTTCTATCGTTTATTATAATATGTTAAAATATAACTATTACCAGTGAAACCATTGAACCTAATCTATGAAATATATCCTTTATTAAGAACAGACTTCTCATATAAAAGATCCCCCTTTAATATAGTATCGTAAAAAAATCTTTTGATCAAAACTAAGGTTAAAGATTTTTATTTACTCTTAAGTAACTTATATCCGTAATCGAACTGAAGTGTTTACAAAAATTGAAACATATAAAATTTAATTTTAAATTCATTGTGGACCATTATCAACATCTATACATATAATAAAACTGTAGAGGTCGGATGTCCGTACATAAAAAAAAACTAAAAACCGAGTCAGGGAGATGAAGGAAGAGAAATAGAACAAATCCAGATTTTTTTCTATTTTTTATTTCTCTATTTGTCTGTTTATCTGTTTGACTGTTTGTACGGGCTAATCTCCGAAACTGATAGACCGATTTAAATGAAATTTTGCATGGGGGTACCTTATATTCCCGGTCACCATTTTAGATACTTTTCATCCCGTAAAATTAAAGAACTCCCGTGGGATAGTTAAAAAACTATAAAGCTTAGTGTGTAACTTATAAAGCTTAGTACACAATAAATTCTGCACCTAATTTAGTAAAAATTTGGCATGCTGATACCTTACATTACCGGCCAAACAATAAGCTACTTTTTATCCCGGAAAAATGTACGGTTCCCATGGGATAGATTTGTTTTTGTTTTTCTAGAGGCGAACCTGAACGAAGCGAGGGTGAGCCGCTATCGTGAATAGGTACACACTTAGAGGGGAAGTAGGTAGTACTTAGTATTAAATAACCTACAAAAACGATTTATATCTACATATCTAAAGAACGAGAGATTTGTAATGTATTGACTACAATTTGCTATCATCCCTTATAGCATTGACTGTGTAAAAGTAACATTCCTAACAATCTACAAAAGCTGTTTATAAAATTTCTAACAGATAATTTCACAGACGTTTGAATGGATAATTGCTAGTAGTTTTTCGTTTGAAGTGAATCAAAGTGAACGCCAGGCGTCCCTATTCTAATCATTTATATTAAATTTTGCTATTCTACATACAGAACATTGTAAAATAGAAGCGACTTACTGACACCACAACAATTGGTTATTTCTCCGAGATTGCGTTCTTCGTCTGATTTATCTGGCCAAAAATTATTTTCATTTTTGGCCAGATAAATCATATGAAGAATGCAATCTTGGAGAAATACCTATTTATGTACAAATATATGTATAAAACAAAGCCAATTTAGTTGTAGGTACCATTTAATTTTATAACTCAAGAATAGCTGAACCGATTTTTATGATATTTGATTTGTTAGATTTGTCACCGCACTGAGTAGCAGAATAACTATGAAAACATCCGAAAATCACGAAAAAAAAATACAAGGTTAACGTTCGTTAATAACTATTTAAAACGTACTGTAGGGACGAACGCGAGCGAAGCGAGGGTAAATCACTAGTATATTATATAGAAAAAAAATTAAAACTATATTATAAATAAATAAAAAGGCTATATATATGATTAATATCAATATCGTCCCTAATCTACACATATAATGAAATTGTAACTAAGCCGAATCTGTACATTAAATATTTTTTGGAAAATCTTATTGAAATAGGCATTATTATCGATACAGAGGCCGAATCTATAGTTTTTAGAATTTTTGCCTGTCTGTCTGTCTGTTACCACATCACGGAAAAACCACTGGAGGGATTTTGATGAATTTTGGTATGATGATACCTGGTTATCCGGTTTAATATATAGGATACTTTTTACCGCGGGAAAATATCTCATTTCTGAGAAAAAATACAAAAACTTGGTTTTTGGTCATCTGAACGCGGGCGGAGCCGCGGGCAGTGCTAGTAAATAAATAAAAAGGCTAGTAAATAAATATATGCTAATAAGTATTGATTAAATATGAACACATGAAAAAAAGAATACGTAATAAGATTAATATCAATATCGTCCCTAATCTATAATATATTTTTATCCAGTAGTATAGAAATATTTAGAAAGAGGCTTTCACTTTATTTCTATGCTCACCAATAGTTTCCTAAATTTACAGAAACATACGCTCAAGTTTCATAGGAGGAAGTTGTGAGAGGAAATTCCGGCTATAAACCTCCAAGACACTAGATGTGGTCACACCAGCTATCGATTTTCTTATTAAATGAACCTTGACGCCCAAGAATAAGGTTTATAATCGTATCAAATTGGTTTCTTCGATCCCTTCAAAATGGGATTCACTGAGTAATTTTGCACGTCCACCGAATCCAGTTCCAATCTTATCTTTAGTAAAGATGTTATCATAAAACTAGCCATCCGAAACATCGTAGCAAATCCTTTTAGGCATATAAGATAAAGAAACTCATTTGAAATGTATTATTATTTTCAATATATTCGTTCTCTTTTTTGAAAAGAAAAAGAGTCAATCAAGTTTTTTAGAGGTTTTATGAAGTAACAAATTATTGTTGTTGCGGTATTTTTTACTTCGTATGTGCCAATTTACACTTTGTCAATCCAATGAAGAAAAGTAAAACTTTGTATTAGAATGAAAATAATGAAAGTTAAATTAAAATACCTTGTATGATCAACCAAAAAATTATAATAATAATTGAGAAGATACAACTGTAGGTTGGTCCACAAATTCTAAAGCTAACGAATGGTCTTTAACAGAAATGGCCAAATAAGATAGCTTTCCGAAATGCATTTTGTTTAATGTATGTATATAAATGTACTAAGTAGTAATATGAACAAACTCAAAGAGTTGACATTCGAACACAAAACTCTGAAAATGCCAGACGATGGCATGAGTACAGAGTTTAACTTCGCAAAACAGTACCAAATAGATCTTCCCAACCGAGACATGTGGCTAAAAAACCAAGAGTCTCACAAAAAGGGCAGTCATGTTTGGTTCACAGATGGATCCAAGAAAGGATCTGATGTAGGGTGCGGTATCTATGGCCTCAAGCCTAGATTTGACATGAGTGTCAATCTGGGCAAGGAGGCCACCATCTTCCAAGCCGAGGTCTTCGCCATCAACAAATGTGCTGAAGTCATCCTGGAGAGGAAGCTTAGAAACCAAAATATCTACATCAACTCAGATAGCCAAGCAGCACTTCTGGCTAAAGATTCTCTTGAGACCAACTTTAAGTTGGTCAAAGACTGTATGGAAAATCTGAATGTCCTGGGCACATCCAACAGAGTTACCCTCAGATGGGTCCCGGGTCACTCAGGCATAGATGGGAATGAAAAGGCTGATGCACTGGCAAGAAGGGGTGCTGAAACCCCAGTATGTGGCCCAGAATTTGTGGTATTGCAAAACAACATGCCTATTCAATTCTCAAAATTCACTGCAATCGCCAAGCACTTCAAGAGTGGCAATCCACTTCTGGACAAATACACTCTAAAGCGCTAATTAAGGGATATCGCAGAAAGTTTACAAAAGAGTTGCTTCAACTCAACAAGTATAAAACCAGTGCAGTAACCAGAATACTTACTGGTCACTGCAAACTCAATAAACATATGTTTACCCTCGGCCTCAGTCAGACCGCAATGTGCAGACTATGCCATGAGACAGAGGAAACTGCTATGCACATCCTCTGCTCGTGCGGTCCACTCATGCACCGCAGAAGTATCTATCTAGGGCAGCATATTATGCAACCGGAAGAGATACAGATGCTCCCCGCTCAGAAAATCTGGAAGTTCCTGGAGTCAACAGGACTAAGCGGAGAACTTTGAACTCACTATAAAGGGAGCTACAATG